AGTTCGAGTTCCAGTTCCAGTTCGAGTTCGAGTTCAGGGTTAGCAAGGGGTCCAAGGCCCAGGGGAAGGGGTCGTGCGAGTGGAGTGACTCGAACCCGAAGTCGAACTGGAACTGGAACAGTTCCAGTTCCAGTTCGAGTTCCAGTTCGAGTTCGAGTTCAGGGTTAGCAAGGGGTCCGAGTCCCACGGGAATCGGTCGTGCGGGTGGAGTGACTGGACCAGTTCGAGTTCCAGTTCCAGTTCGAGATCGAGTTCAGGGTTAGCAAGGGGTCCAAGGCCCAGGGGAATGGGTCGTGCGGGTGGAGTGACTCGAACTCGAACTCGAACTGGAACAGTTCCAGTTCCAGTTCGAGTTCCAGTTCGAGTTCGAATTCAGGGTTAGCAAGGGGTCCGAGTGCCAGGGGAATGGGTCGTGCGGGTGGAGTGACTGGACCAGTTCGAGTTCGAGTTCGAGTTCAGGGTTAGCAAGGGGTCCAAGGCCCAGGGGAAGGGGTCGTGCGGGTGGAGTGACTCGAACTCGAACTCGAACTGGAACTGGAACAGCTCCAGTTCCAGTTCGAGTTCCAGTTCGAGTTCGAGTTCAGGGTTAGCAAGGGGTCCGAGTGCCAGGGGAATGGGTCGTGCGGGTGGAGTGACTGGACCAGTTCGAGTTCGAGTTCGAGTTCAGGGTTAGCAAGGGGTCCAAGGCCCAGGGGAATGGGTCCTGCGGGTGGACAGACTCGAACTGGAACTCGAACTGGAACTGGAACAGTTCCAGTTCCAGTTCGAGTTCGAGTTCGAGTTCAGGGTTAACAAGGGGTCCGAGTCCCAGGGGAATGGGTCGTTCGGGTGGAGTGACTCGAACTCGAACTCGAACTGGAGCTGGGAATGGGTCGTGCGGGTGCATGGAGTGAGTCGAACTCGAACTCGAACTCGAACTGGAACAGTTCCAGTTCCAGTTCGAGTTCAGGGTTAGCCAGGGGTCCGAGTCCCACGGGAATGGGTCGTTCGGGTGGAGTGAGTGGATGAGTTCGAGTTCCAGTTCCAGTTCGAGTTCGAGTTCAGGGTTAGCAAGGGGTCCAAGGCCCAGGGGAAGGGGTCGTGCGAATGGAGTGACTCGAACCCGAAGTCGAACTGGAACTGGAACACTTCCAATTCCAATTCTCGTTCCAGTTCGAGTTCGAGTTCAGGGTTAGCAAGGGGTCCGAGTCCCACGGGAATCGGTCGTGCGGGTGGAGTGACTGGACCAGTTCGAGTTCCAGTTCCAGTTCGAGTTCGAGTTCAGGGTTAGCAAGGGGTCCAAGGCCCAGGGGAATGGGTCGTGCGGGTGGAGTGACTCGAACTCGAACTCGAACTGGAACAGTTCCAGTTCCAGTTCGAGTTCCAGTTCGAGTTCGAATTCAGGGTTAGCAAGGGGTCCGAGTGCCAGGGGAATGGGTCGTGCGGGTGGAGTGACTGGACCAGTTCGAGTTCGAGTTCGAGTTCAGGGTTAGCAAGGGGTCCAAGGCCCAGGGGAATGGGTCCTGCGGGTGGAGTGACTCGAACTCGAACTCGAACTGGAACTGGAACAGTTCCAGTTCCAGTTCCAGTTCGAGTTCGAGTTCAGGGTTAGCCAGGGGTCCGAGTCCCAGGGGAATGGGTCGTGCGGGTGGAGTGACTGGACCAGTTCGAGTTCCAGTTCCAGTTCGAGTTCGAGTTCAGGGTTAGCAAGGGGTCCAAGGCCCAGGGGAATGGGTCCTGCGGGTGGACAGACTCGAACTGGAACTCGAACTGGAACTGGAACAGTTCCAGTTCCAGTTCGAGTTCGAGTTCAGGGTTAACAAGGGGTCCGAGTCCCAGGGGAATGGGTCGTGCGGGTGGAGTGACTGGACCAGTTCGAGTTCGAGTTCAGGGTTAGCAAGGGGTCCAAGGCCCAGGGGAATGGGTCCTGCGGGTGGAGTGACTCGAACTCGAACTCGAACTGGAACTGGAACAGGTCCAGTTCCAGTTCGAGTTCGAGTTCAGGGTTAGCCAGGGGTCCGAGTCCCAGGGGAATGGGTCGTGCGGGTGGAGTGACTGGACCAGTTCGAGTTCCAGTTCCAGTTCGAGTTCGAGTTCAGGGTTAGCAAGGGGTCCAAGGCCCAGGGGAATGGGTCCTGCGGGTGGAGTGAGTCGAACTCGAACTCGAACTGGAACTGGAACAGTTCCAGTTCCAGTTCGAGTTCGAGTTCAGGGTTAACAAGGGGTCCGAGTCCCAGGGGAATGGGTCGTTCGGGTGGAGTGACTCGAACTCGAACTCGAACTGGAGCTGGGAATGGGTCGTGCGGGTGGAGTGAGTCGAACTCGAACTCGAACTCGAACTGGAACAGTTCCAGTTCCAGTTCGAGTTCGAGTTCCAGTTAGGGTGGGGTTCCTAATGCTAAATCCTGAACCCTAAACCCTAAACCGTCTGTAAGGGTGTAGGAGGGCGTTTAGGGAACCCGAAACTTCGAGCAGTCTCGGGCTAAAGGGGGAAAGGATTGGGGCAGTCTCGGGTAAAAGTTTTTCTTGTTTTTTTAAGTTGGGGTGACGTCCTTCTTTGTCTGCGAGTAAAGCTTTAGGGCTTCGGGAATCAGAGTTGGGTAAGGACCAGGTCTTAGCGATTCGGGTTGACATTGAAGGCTTAGGGGTTAGGGTCTGGGACCTAGTAAGTAGCTGTTTTCCAGGATGGAAAAATATCACAACCCAATTAGGATCCCTCCTAGCGGGCTTATGACTCCAATACATGGCTGCCTTAGTCCCCCAGACTCTTGGGCTTACCTTTGGTTAGTAGGGAATGGAAGAATGGTAGTAATAGTAGTTGTAATTGTACCCCATTCCTCCTTTCCCTACGAACCAAAGGTAAGTGGGTTGCTGTCTTCTAGCAGGACATGGGGCTTCGCATTCGCGCTGGAAGTTGAGGGTTTAAGATTCTTGGAAGTTGAGGTTCTGGTGCACAGTAGGTGTTTTTGGGATCTCGAGCTTGGACATGGCCATTTAAAAAACAGACTCAAGCAACACATGAGCTAAACTACAGTCATCAGAGAAGTCGCTTGACTAGGCCGTTACGCCTGGCTTTCGTAAGCATTGCAAAATTCTAGAAGTTGGGGCTGAACTCTGAATCAGGAACCTAACGTACCTACAAAGGAAACCTAAGCTATATAGTGGAGCCTTGAAGGGGTTTCTGTATAGTATAGTCTTACGCCATAGTATATTCCATTCGGTACACTTATATGGGCCCTTTGGGATAAGTCCGGCTTCTCGCAGCAGTCCCCTTCGGCCGTGGTCCGCAGCACCGTAAAAATCACTGTTTGTTCGCAGGTTCGCCTCCAAGGTGCTCGAACTCGAATAAGTGTCAACAAAGCTTTGGCGGAAAGTTTGAGGATAGGCTGCCACATCTTGAGTTCAACGATCCAGCCCGTCTGAAACACCCAGGGGCAGCCCGCAGTGCAGATTAACATTCATATTACTGTTACTATGATTACTATTCATATTGGTGTACCATTATTACCATTCATATTAATGTTACTGTTGTTACTATTCATATTAATATTAAGATTAACCGTAGTACTCTGAGTTGTCCTTTAAGCCCTTTGAAAATTATTTACTATTATGGTTCTCTGCAAAATAGTAGGGGAAATTACAAAAGATCCCAAAGGACAACCCAGTACTATATGGGTGGTTGTCAAAAGTATGGTCCCATTTTTGGTACCCTAAATCATAGGTGCCGTATTATAATAAGGACCCAAAAGGGGACCCTAATTTTGACAACCACCCATTTAAAGGAACCCCTAAAAAAGAACCCCTAAACCCTAAACCCTAAACCCTAAACCCTAAACCCTAAAACCCTAAACCCTAAACCCTAAACCCTAAACCCGTTTCCCTCCCCAGTACTATATAGTCCTACCAGTAGCCAGGGCATTATGCCCTTAAGGTAAAGTATAAGGGATCCTAGCACTAATCCTCCTAAAGCCATGTTCCAACTTTCTGGCTTCTACTGTATATAGTCCTACCAGTAGCCAGGGCATTCAGATTCGGCCCAAAGAGCTCTCTGCGGGTTTCGCGCGCGGGTTTTGTGCTTGGAGGGTCCTTAGGGGACTTAGTACCTCTAAGGGGGGGGTTCCTTTAAAGGGGTCCTTTAAAGGGATCTATAGGGATTCTGTAAGGGTTTAGGGTTTAGGGGACCTAGTAACTGGTTATTTTAGGGACTTATAAGTACCATAACCCCAATTAGGGTCCCTTTTAGGGGACTTATAAGTCTACTTACTACCTACTTACTAAGTCCCCCGACCCTCCAAGTGTGCTGGGGCTTTAGGGCCTTGGGGCTGTTGTGGTGTATGGTGCTTGGCTCAGGGGTTTCGGAGTTCTTGATTCGGGATCTAGGCTGGCAGATACGAATACGAAATTGCGAAAACGGCGGGCTTGGCACGAAGAACAGCAGAAAAAGCAAGTATATCCCTAGGGATCAAAATGGCCCAAAAGCCTGATATAGTATGGTCTTTGGGCCCAAAAGCCTTAATATATGAGTCCTTAGATCCCTAGGGTATACAGCAATCATGAAACTGCATTCTGTGTACGTGCCCCAAACCCCCGAAGCTACCTCGCTGGGAGCCACGTCACCAGTCTTGGTGGTGCGAACTCCCTGGCATTCAGGGCGTGTTGAAGTCTAGAGCATCGTAGGGTTTCGGTGTCGGATTTATAACCTTAAGGGTCGAAGTACCTAATAATCATATACTCTCATAAATCTTGAGCTACATAACCACTATCCTAAACCCAAGTACCTGATGACTGGGTCCTCTGGACCCTTAGGGTAAGGGGCTAAGGTGCTGAGCCGAAGGCAGCTTTCTTCTGCACAACAACCTACCAAAATTCGCTTTTAGGATCCAGTCTGCTAGCCGCGAGAGAACTAGGAACGAGCACCAAACCCCCTTAACCCCCTAAACCCATACACTTCACTACACTCTAAACCTCCAAGGGTAAAAGGAGGGACCCGTAATAAGGACCCCTAGGTATATACCCTAAATATAGCAATTATATACCCATTATGTAGCCCATCATAGGGTAGGGGTCCCCGTTAAGGGTTCCTCCTTTTCCCTTTGATACACCCTAAACCCCCAACCCTAAACTCCTAAGTCGATAAGTCGCGAGGTCTCCACGTGGGTCTTCAGGTAGGGATGAACTTCGGGTCTGATCCCACCATGCCTTCAAATGGTTCCTTAAGGGGATCTACAAGGGTTCTATAAAGGGTTTAGGGTTTAGAGTTTCCGAACAGTAGGGGTACCTAAGTTTGGGGTCCTTATAATCAGGATCCTAGTATTTAGGGTACGTTATTACGGTCCCAAGTTGACCTTTTGTTAGGGCTCCTTGTATGAATCCTACTTGTCGGGGTTAGACGCCCAGGGTTTCTTAATCAGGTTCCTACATTAACTACACCGCGTGATGTAGCAGTTTCTGTTTCTCGCGGAAAACCTAGAGGAATCCGCGGCTGTTTGTCGCTTTTCCGCGTAAACTTCTTGCGCTCATCTCTCCTGTGCTTGCAAACTTCTTCTCCACTCAATATCTCATCGAGTCGACCCTAGTAGATGATCTGGGACGGATCCTTGCAGTTGGACATCACCGCGTCCAGTTGCGACATGGCGCAGAAAAAAGGTCTGCTTGCCCCACTGCCGTTCGCATTCACATTTGTATGACATCTTGCTTCGGCCAGAGCCTTCATCAGTCTTAGCTTGGCCTCTGTCATGAATTTGTGGCAAAGTGATACTCACTGAGCCTTCCGGATGCTGGAGTGGGCCAGGCTCCACGACAAGCCTTTCACCATCACAGTCAGGCGAGACCTCAGAACAGCCACGTCTGCGTCGCCGGACTCGTGGTCGGAACACTTGACAACGCATTGCCTGCCGACTGCATCAAGCGGCGAATCTGTGTCTGGGGGCCAATTGAGGCACCAAAGCTAGTTCACACTAAAAAACTGAATAGACCTGGACCCTCCATCTACCCTCTATTAGACCCTAAATGCCCCTTATTCGGGACCATATACCCCTATTTGAGGGTACAAGGAGGGTCCTGGGAGGTTCTAAAGCAGACAGGCTGGACATGCTAGCGCCTAACCGAAAACGTCACGTGTCAGGCTTCAGGTGGAACCAGAAGAAAAAACCCTTAGAAATAGACCCGCAAAACAGCACGAACAAAACATACCCCCTAATTCCCAAAAGCCCTGCACCCCACGCCCTATGCCATACCAGCGAGAACCTGACAATTGAGAAGAGGGAGTAGGGCTGAGGATCTTCGCTTCCCTAAGCCCGAACCCCTAAGCCTGGCCCCCCCAAAACCCAAATCCCTAAACCCTATAATCCTTAGACCCTATAGGGTTTAGGGCTTTGGGTTTAGGGACTACTACTCCTCCTCCTGCTGCTGCTCCTGCTGCCACTGCAAGACCCTAGACTAGGAGCAGCTAAATGCCCCGTACGCTGCTGAACTCTCCACAGGGTCACATGCTCAAGCCCCCATGCACGAGTAATGCAGGGGCCTTAATGAATTATATTTTTCCGGTAGTTATGAACAGGAGCCTTAAGGCACAATAGTGGTACATATTTGGGAACCTATGTTCTATGCTTGCTTCTGCGATACAGCCTTATCATCTCGCGGGCTGCTGTTTTAAGAGACTCCACTATCCCTTCACTAAGGAATATGCCTTAAACCATGTGGGGGATCCTACTATGGTTTAAGGTCCAGATGTATTCCTTAATAAATCAAGAAGAGATATTGGAGTCTTTGGGTTTTGGTTGAGGACTGTCAGCAGGATTCATAAGTTGGTTCAGCTGCTTGGTGCTTGGTCGAACTTGTAAGCACAGGGATGTCTCGTGCAGACCATGACAGAAGGGCATGCAACACAAGCTTCAATCATTGCTGGCTCGGCCGGTGGTAGTCTGTTTCACAGGTGATCTGTGATCTTTAGAATCACATATTTAATGAGTCCCCCAGAACACAACGACATAGCACAGCCCCTCAGAACCCTAATGCATCAACACAATTCCTCAGTTGCTGAGTTCATAAGCCCCAAAAAGTGTACACTTTCAGTTTTATAAATAGAAAATCCAAAACCTTTAAAGTGTATCCACTCAGCTACTAAGATTCAACTACACCTGCGGCCTGTCTTGGCTGTGCTGCGTAGGCCGGTCCACCCACCACGTATGGCCTCACGGCCAGGCCCCAAAACCCAAAAGCTTCGCATCCCTCTCTTTTAGTTCCTGCAGGGTTTCGGGGTTCAGGGTTTCCCTCTCTTGTAGGGCCTGTAGGGTTTAGGGTTCAGGGTTGCCCGTCTTGTAGGGCCTGTAGGGTTTAGGGGTTAGTGTGGTGCAAAACAATCTTTACGTAGGGTAATGTAGGGGCACCAACTGCAGTGCAGGGCACTCGATCAGAGGCCTGGTGTCTCTCACTTGCTCTCGATGGGGCCGCTGCAAAATAGGGGCCTGATTCGTTAGAACAGGGTTTGGGGGTTATGGCTTAAGGAAATGGCGTAGTTGCTATTGGTAACTATTCCGGCCTCTATATTAAAGGTTTGTGCTTGTGGCCGACACTGCCCTGAACCATGAAGCCTAAACTCGTAAAGCCGTCAACCCCAAGCCTAAAGGCTGAGCATTAAACCCTGCACCCAAAGCCAAAAGCCTCTGAACCCTTAACCACAAACCCGTAAACCCCTAAACCTGAAACCCCCATGTTGGATTCACGAAACCCTCATTGCCAAGCTGCTTCCGGGCTCAGGCAGCCCTCGACCCCAGCCCTACAAGCTGCTTAGGGTGTCGCGTTTCAGGATTATATAGGTTTCAGAGCTTTGGGGTTTCCGATTTGGGGTTTTGGGGTTCAGGGCTTTTGGATTTCAGAATTTGGGGATTTCAGATTTGGGGTTTTAGGGTGAAGGCTCCACTAGTCGGGAAGTTCCGGGCTCTCGAGACCTTGCCTCGCGGACGCCGGCATGACCTGCGGCGCACCGGGCATGGGCGCCGGCTGCGAGGCGCGGATAACCCGGGCTCCCGGTGGAAGCGCCTGAGGCACACCAACCTCAGCCATGGGCTCACAGCTTCTCTCCTCTCTCTCTTGCTCTCTCGACTTTCTAGCTGCTGCATGAGAGTTCGACGGTTCTCAAAGCTTCTGGGGACACCCTAAACCCTAAACTCCTCAACCCAAAAACATAAAGACCTTAAACCCTGAACTGGGCGTGAGGACGACAGGTCTTCGAGATTTGCTAGCCTGATCTCTCTGCGCTCTCCTTCGAGCCCGGGATGGCGAACTCTCAGCTTTTGGTGCTGGGGTTTAAAGGGTTTGAGGTTCCGGTTCTTCGTAGGGAATGGGAGAAAGGGACTACTATACTGGATTATGTAGGGACTACTATAGGGGTCCATTCTCCATTCCTACTAGCAGCAGGGAGTCATTCGAGGACACTTCCATTTCCGCTCTACTGACCCCTGCCTCGCAAACAAGCCCTCAGTCCTCCACCTCCCCTAACCCGAGACGCACTTAAGATATACTATAGTATAACATAGATAATACACCATACAGTATTATTACTTTAAAAAAGAATACAAAATATACTCTATAGTACATAAAATACAATAGAATAATATAGTATAATGTTATATTATATATATAGTTATTACATACGGATATTCAGCCAAACTCTGACTGAGGCGTGCCGAAGGGCTTGGCCAAGCGTGCGACTGGAGACGGAGAGGGGCGCTGGCATTCCCACCTAGATGTCAGGCGGGTCTCCGAAGATTTAAACCCGAAGCCCCAAACCTCAAACGTCAGGATATGTTCCCCCGATTTTTCAGGAAAAAAGCGTGCCGAATACAAAAGGAATCTCGCTGCAAAGGCTCGAAAATTCATGGGGCTGCAGAGAGGGGCTCCCATCTTGGGTGCAAGGGTCTCACCAACTGACGACTTCTCGCGCTCTTAGAAGGGCTCTACGCTTTCGAGGCCCTTGAATGCTTCACGCTGAGACTCAAGCGCTCCTAGCCAGGCCCACGGCTTCAAAAGGTCTTGATAACAAGTGCCTCCCTGCATAGTCCTGCGTAGCTACCTGGACCCCAAAGTATGTAGAATAATAGCGCTTTATGGGTATATGGGCCATTATTTTACCTACTTTGGGGGGTTTAGGTAGCCTTCACGACTAACGGTCGAAGCATGGACCAAACACTGAGCCGTGCACTGGAGTGGGTGCCATTGGCACCATGCGAACCGTCGGCTGCGGTGTCCCCGCAGGCTGCGGCATCCTCCCCCCGGGCACAGCGTAGGCACCGGTGGCTGGTGCGATGAAGCTGCCGGGACGGTAATAGACCTCACAGAGCTGAACAAGGACTGTCCTCACCTATCATCGGGTAATGACTGGATGCCCGCCCCAGCCCTGAAACCAGTAGAGGGTGCATCTTAATTCGCCCGTGAAGTGACCTAGTTTACGCGAAGTTTCGGCTTACGGTTCAGAACTCCGGAATTTCGTGAAGCACGGCTGATGCTACTCGCTGCCGACAAATTGCACGCACCCAAAATCAAGCGGAGCAAAAGAAGTAGAGGTAGGGAAGATTGGCAGTAACAGATTCTCCGGAAAGGGTCACTGAGATGAGAGCAGTCGTCGTCAGTCGTCATCAGTCGTGGTCGTGGCCGTGGCCGTGGGGCGACGGTAGTCGTGGTCTAGTCGTAGTCGTAGTAGTAGTCGTAGTAGTAGTCGTAGTAGTAGTCGTAGTAGTAGTAGTAGTAGTAGTAGTAGTAGTAGAGTAGTAGTAGTAGTAGTAGTAGTAGTAGTAGTAGTAGTAGTAGTAGTAGTAGTAGTAGTAGTAGTAGTAGTAGTAGTAGTAGTAGTAGTAGTAGTAGTTAGTAGCAGCAGCACCAGCATGTTGTAGGAGTAGGAGGAGGAGAAAAAGAAGGAGGAGGGGTGGAACAGCAGCAGGAGTAGCAGTCATAGTAGTAGGAGCAGTGGCAGTAGAAGTCGCAGAAGAAGCGATAGAACTACTGGGAAGAGAAGCAATAGCACTAACAATGCGAGGGGTGTCTCTAGGGTGCGACACTGCCGAGGACCCTTCTCGTTTCGAACAAACAAGCATCCCCATTGTCCGACTTTCGTGACGTTAGGGTTTAGTGCTTAGACATTCGAAGGCCGTCTTGATGACATCCGAGCCGCAGTGCCTCAGGATAACCCCAAACTGCGCCATCTAGACTCAGGGGCCGTGTTTTTGGAATGTCGGATGTAGCATTTCTGCAGCTAGGTTTGGGGTCCACAAGCACCTTTAGGTGTTGGGTTGGTGTTCCTCTTTGGGCTTAGCCCTAAACACTAAACCAACGCAAAGGTGTTAGGGCTCCACAAAGGCAAATCCTACACCACCAATTTCTTCAGCTCAAACTCAGGCTAGGGTTAAGGAGATAATCCCTGACCCCCGGGCTCCAGTTACCCTAATAATAACAATAATATTAACAATAATAATAACAATAATAATAACAATAATAATAACAATAATTATAACAATAATATTAACAATAATATTAACAATAATATTAACAATAATAATATTAACAATAATCAGAATAATAGACTACCCATAAATCATCTACCCCAGTAACCTACTATTTAAGTAACCGGAGCCCTAGGGTGAATTGAGGAAATTTGGAGCGCCTGGCTCTCCAGCAAGGACTTACCTTTGGTTAGTAGGGAATGGAAGAATGGTAGTAATAGTAGTTATAATGGTACCCCATTCCTCCATTCCCTACTAACCAAAGGTAAGAGGATCACTGTATGACGAAACCCCGAAAACAAGGAACCGTCGGCTGAGAGATGCTGAAGCCCCAACCCCTAAACCCTAAGCCCTAACCCCTAAACCCTAAACCCCTAGACCCTAACCCCTAAACCCTAAACCTTTGTTTAGGTGATTTTTCGGGTTTCGGGACAGGAATCCCTGAACAGGTGAAGTTCAGGCACCGGCCTGCTGACCGTTACCTGAGGTGCAGACCGTTCAGGGTTTAGAGGATTTAAGGTGTGGGGCTTAGAGTCTTAGAGGGTCCAGGGCTTAGGGTCTGGGGTTTAGAGTTTCGGATTTAGTGTTAAGGACCCAATTTGGGTTTAAGGATTGAGGCTGAAACTGCATGGTAAAGTGAGGTGTGGAGGTGGAGTCTTATATGGTTTAATGTACACTATCGTAGCGAGGGTGTCTCGAAACCGACCTGTGAGCCCTGAAGGAAATAAAAAGCTATTCCTGAAAGCTTATCTAAACCCTTGAATGTAGTACCTTTTACTGCTACCCTAGTTTCTTATTTTAAGATCCTGCCCATAGAATAAGTCATCCAATATCTAAAGGGTCTCGGTAGGCCGAAACCCTAAACCTATGGTTCGGGGTCTTGCAGACTCGTGGAGGAGCTTCTGGTGCGTGCACTGTACTTGGAGGTTCATGGGTGGTTACAAGTGGGGTTTTAGGGATCCTTTAAGGTTTCTATAGGGTTTAGGGTTTTTAGGGTAGCTATAAGTGGGGTTATACGTCCCCTGATATGGGTTAGAAGTCTAGTTACCCTACATATACCCCTATTTATAACTACTCATGAACCTCCAAGTAAGCTGCAAACGCTAGCTTTCACTGCTTGAAAGATGCTTCACGCTGGTTGCACCTCTTGGGGAGATTCTTGAAATCAGGATCCCTCTAGGTCATATTCTAGGCCGACGTATTCTCTTGGGAAGGATTAAAAGGGAGGATCGGATCCTGGCATACTTACTCCATGATGATGAACCGTACGTGCCGTAGGCTCTACGCTAAACCCCAAAGCCCTGGACCCTAAGCCATAAACTCTATGAAGTCCGGAAAACTGAACCAAAAGAAACTTCCAGAGTAGTTCCGCGACGCGATGCGCAGCTGGGGTCATAAAGGTCGTGGGTTCAAAGCAACAAGAACCCTGGCTGGGGAATGATCAAACTCTATATATATATATACACACACACGCACCTACACACATACATACATACATGCATACGTTCTTCCTTTAGACAGAAATGGCAGCGTACTCACGACACCGCCTGTTCCGAAAGCCGGAAAATGCTGGAAAAACCCTCAGCCCTCAACTCTTGCCCCTTACCCCTATACCAAGAAGCCTCCCCTAAACCCTAAGCCCCTAACCCCTGAACCCTAAACCCCTAAACTCCTAACCCCTGAACCCTAAACCCCTAAACTCCTAACCCCTAAACCCCTAAACCCTAAACCCCTAAACCCTTAAACTCCTAACCCCTGAACCCTAAACCCCTAAACTCCTAACCCCTAAACCCCTAAACCCTAAACCCCTAAACCCTAAACCCCTAAACCCTAAACCCCTAAACCCCTAGACCCTAAGCCCCTAAACCCTAAGCCCCTAAACCCCTAAACCCTAAGCCCCTAAACCCTAAGCCCCTAGACCAAGAAGCCTTAAACCTGGAGCCCTCCAGTCTCTCCCCCAAGCTGCCAACTAAGTCTCTACTTGGAGGGTCATGGGTAGTTATAAGGGTTCCTTTAAGGGTCCCTTTAAAGGGATCTCTAGGGGTTCTATAGGGGTATTAGGGTTTAGGGTCTACTCGGAGGTTCATGGCTAGTTATAAGTGGGGTTATAAGCCCCCCCAATATGGGTTATAAGTATAGCTACCCTACTTATAAACCTACTTAGAACTACCCCTCAACCCTAAACCCTGTAATGTTATATATATATATATATATACCCCTAAATCCTAGACCCTATAGATCCGTTTAAAGGAGCCATAACTACCCATGAACCTCCGAAGTAAACCCCCTTAAGCTGCAAAAACCCAGGCCGGAGCCGCAGCCCTGAAGCTGAAATATAGGGGGCCTTCGGGTATTCCGGGCTTAGGGTTTAAGGTTTGGGGTTTAGGGTTTAGGGTTTAGGGTTTAGGGTTTATAGGGTTTAGGGCTTAGGGTTTAGGGTTTAGGGTTTATAGGGTTTAGGAGTTTAGGAGTTTAGAGCTTAAGGCTTGGGGTTTAGGGTTGATTATACTAGGGTTTTAGGGCCCACTATACCATCATTATAATCAGGAACCCCCAACATTATTCAGGCCCCTAATATACAACCCTTATAGTAGCCCTTGTAGTTATCCTGATAGACCCCCTTTTAAGGAACCTATATTACTTCCTGCATCCAAACGGCTTGCCATGACCTGAGCAGAAAGAAAACCTTAAGGATTTCGGGCTTAGGGCATCTGGGGCTTAGGGTTTAGGGTTGAGAATTGGTCTGCTGAACGCGTTGTGTGTCTCACCCCAAGACCACCCAAAAACTTCCTAAACCCTAAGCCCTAAACTAACCCCTCAACGCGAAGCCCTGAGCCCTGAACCCTAAACCCTAAACTCCTAAACTCCTAAACCCTAAACTCCTAAATGTGTGCTTGCTTGTTGGCCCCTGGTTTCCGTCCACAGTGTCTCCCGAGTTTGGAACGCCACGGTTGGCTGAGGAGTGGAAGGGCTTGGGGTACAAGGTTGTAAAAGGAAAACCAACATCCTCTCTGTTTTCAGGCTTTTACATCGGGTTGTACAGGGACTTTGCAAGATAATCCTGGAAAGGAGGCACTGTGAGGGTTGATGCTCCGAACCCTTGAAGCGAGAGACACGAAAGGCCATAAAAATGACCGTTGACCTAAACCCGAAAACTTTTGCGTGCTCTAAGGGTGTTTGCAACTGTTGCCCAACTGGTGGAAGGGTTCTGCAAGGGCTTCGGCCAGGGTTTCATTCGGGGTTCTGGCAATCTTTCGCGTTCAAGGTTTCTGGAATCGTTTAGAAGGCATTGTCAGGGTTCTGCAGAAGATTTGTTCCGTGTTTGTCATGCATTTTGATAAGGTGGTCTGGCAAACCCTAATCCCTGCACCCAACAAAACTGAGCAGCATCGGCATCATTTGGGATGCTGGCAAAGGGTGTCTGGCGATAACTTGCACGGCATGGGTGGTTTCCGAAACAGCTCAAGAATCCAGTTGCTGATAGGCCAACTTCGTGGCGGAATCTGGGCCAGCATCATGAGCATCAGTTGGACATTGCCAGAGGGGAAACCCGCAGTCAAGCGCTGTCGGAAGCCCACCTCACACACCTCTCGCAGGTGTCGTCCTCAAGCTGGTCGGCTTTGGCTGTATCGGGATTCCGAATTTAAGGTTTTTTTCGCCTATGTTTCTCATTGTTTGCAAACCAGCTGGGCGAGCATCATCAGCATCATGTGGGCACCGGCGAGAAATAGGCGGGGGCGAAGAAAGTTCGAAAGCAACTTGACTTGCCTCTGGTTAGTAGGGAATGGAAGAATGGTAGTAATAGTAGCTATAATTGTGCCCCATTCTTCCATTCCCTACTAACCAAAGGTAAGTTGAGCCAGCATCCCTGAGCATCAGTTGGGCTTCTGGCGGACGCCACTGGGCAAAACCTGACGGCAAGCTTCGGGCGTGTGCTTGAAAGCTTTCCTCAAAATAGTCTACTTGTAGGCTGATGGGTAGCTATAAGTGGAGCTATAAGTCCGTAATGTGGAGGTTCATGGGTAGTTATAAGTGGGGTTATAAGTAGGGTAAGCGTGTAACTATACTTCTAACCCATATTAGGAACTTATAACCCCACTTATAACTACCCATGAAGCTCCAAGTAGGAAAACGTGGGCCAGCATCATCAGCATCATTTATCCTGCAGGCTGGCCCTTGCAGACGAGACTTTGGGGCTACTCCTTGGACCCTACACAACCTTTATGGGGGTTTCCGAAAATTTGGGGTTACCTTATTTTCGGGTCCTTGTAATAAGGATCCTACTCTTTTTAGGGTACTATATTAGGGCCCCTTGCAGAAACTGGCATATACATACACATATTTATAGAGAGAGAGAGAGAGAGAGAGAGAGAGAGAGAGAGAGAGAGAGAGAGAGAGAGAGAGAGAGAGAGAGAGAGAGAGAGAGAGAGAGAGAGAGAGAGAGAGAGAGAGAGAGAGAGAGAGAGAGAGAGGAGAGAG